GAAGCAGGAGGATTGCAAGTTCAAGGCCAACCTGAGCAAGTGAGTGAGACCCTGTCTCAAAAAAAAATTCCAACCATCTGGGAGGCTGAAGCAGGAAGATGATAAATTCAAGGCCAGCTTGGGAAACTTAACTTAGCAAGTCTCTGTCTTATAAAGCCAAAAGGTATGGGAATGTAGCTCAGTACAAAGGCCTTGGGTTTGCTAGGGTATTTTGGGGGAACTGGAGTGCCCTTCTTGAGGTGGTTTCTAGGTTCTTTTAGTTCCTGAAATAAGAGATGGTCAAAACAAGTGTAAAAAGTAACAAGATTTTATGTTTATTAAAGGTATGAAAAATGAAAAGAAACATGCTCCACTGAATGAGCGTGAGCCAATTAAAAGTTGGAAAAGAAGTACGTGTTACAGGGTCAGAGTGGAGGACTGTGGAGAGAGAGGAGAATGGCCTAGAACTCAGTGCCAGCTGTATCTCCTCAGACGGATATCAGATCTAGTACATCCTATCAGAAACCAACCTGGATCTCCTGAGAACTGAAGATAGCACTCTCTGATTGGTTCCATGTGCGGGGCTTTGGGAACTGTTCTGTGCACGTGTCCTGGAACTCCTATGATTGACAGGTCATGTCTACCTCTCCAGCCAGTTTGCCATGCCCTGATCTCCTGCCTCAGGTTCAATCCCTAGTACCACAGAAACGAAAAAACCCCAAAACTAATGGAGACAAAATATAAAACATAGTCCTTGAGAACTGTAGTTCATTATTCCTATATTGCATATTCAGTTGCTGTCTTTTCCTCACTTTAGGGTTGTGTATGTAGCAGGTACAATCAGTATCTAGAAGTCTCCATCTAGGAAGTCTTACAATTAAGAGGAAAAAAACCAGAAAAATTGTATTCATTGTAACCGACACTAATAAAGATGCAAACAAAAAGCAGTAATGGTAGCAGCTTACTATGATTGAGTCTTTACTTAGCTAGGCAGACTATCTGCTTGTGTTTACAATAACTGATGAAGATGGGCCCTTCTATCTCTTTTGCAGGTGAGAAGAGAGATTCAGATTAAATAAATAACCATGAGCATGTAACTAAGTGATAAAGTAAGGATCCAAGTGCAAATTTTGCCACCTCCCCAAGTCATTGTACTTAATCTTGTCTTTATGTTATTGTTTTCTCAAACAATAGCAACCTAATATACCTATTCTGTAACTAGAAGGTAAAATCTTTAAGTAGGGACTTTGCCTCATGATAATCAATAGCACAGGGAGCTGACCATCCTCAGTACCCAAACTTCAGCATGAATAAACACATAAACACATCATGGCTTATAATGTAGTGTCATAGGAAGGCACATCAGTAAAGACGCTGGGCATGGTGATGCATGCTTGTACTCAGCACTTGGGAGGTTGAGGCAGGAGGATCACAACGTCAAGTTCTGCCTGAGCAAGTTATCGAGATCCTGTCTCAAAATAATAAAGGGCTCAGTGTGAAAGCCGTAGGTTCAGCCCCCAATATCACAAACAAATTCATCCATACATATATACATAAAAAAGGGCTGAGAATATAGCTTAGTGTAAAGACCTTGGGTTCAGTCCTCAGTACCAACAATACCAATAACAAAAATAAAACACATATTATCAACTTTTTTTTCTGTAACAAGAAATATATCCAAGGAGCAAAACATTCTTCAGCTATTTTTTTTTTTCTGACCTATTCTCAAATCCATGTGTAGGGATCCCTGTAGAGATGAAGCTACATAATTTTGACTTGGTGGTGGTCAAGGAGTGAGACGACTAGCTCAGGAAACTGCCTCCAGTGTAGGCAGTCATCTTGGATTCCCTCCTTCGTCTTTGCTTTTCACTTCACTTTTCATTTTGCTCACAATTCTTGCTGGTTTTATCTTGATTCTCAAGTATATTTCCTCCCTTCAGTTGAACTGCCATTGGCTCATTCAAAACTTTCTTGACTTTCCTAAGCAATGTCAGGTGTGTTCTGTGTTTCTATCACATTTTATGCAAAATCTTAGTGTAGAAATATCTATCTATCCACGTCCACATCCATATCCATATCCATATCCACATGTCCATGTGTATGTCTATATGTCTTCTATCATGTAGTAAGCCTCAGTGAGTGTCTGAGGAAGGTAAATGACCTTGGTAGTATTTATCTTGATATCTTAGTTACTTTCTCATTGCTGGGACACAAAACCCAAGACCCATAAGTTAAAAGAGGAAAGATTTATTTTTGTTTACAGTTTGTAGAGGTTTCAGTTGATAGCTGGCTCCAGTGCAGGGTGACATAGCAGAAGAGAAAGACCTCATGGCAAGGCAGGCAGGAGCAGCAGAGACTTCCTTTTTCTTTCCCTTTTTATTCTATCCAGTCTACAAGCCTATTGGGTAGGTCACCCACACTTAGGGTGGGTCTTTCCCCTTCAGTAAGTCCTTCATTCACACTCAGAACTATACTAATCAGTGGGCTAATCCAGTTAACATGTCCAAGATTCAAGGCTCAAAGGCTTCACCTATGAGCACAGGAGGCTTTGGAGGGGGGCATCTTGACACAAGTCATAATAGCTGGAGATGATAAATGTCACTTTAAATGCATTCATACTATGTATCAGGCATCTGAATGAAAGATGAGATAGCACCAGTTTCTCTTCTGAAGATAGCAGCAAGTGGTAATGTAATGATTAAAGGCTAAAACCTATAGTGTGTGGCTTTGGATCAATTATTTAATAATTGAATCTTGGTTTCCTTTTTTTTTTGGTACCAGGGATCAAACTCACAACCTTGCTCTTGCCAGGCAGGTACTTACACCACTGAGCTAAATCCCTGGCCTGGGTTTCCTTATTTTTAAGAGGAGTCCTATATCATATATTTTAGTGCTTATAAAAATTAGTAAAATAAGCTATATGACAGTGCAATCTTATAAATTCTTGTACCGACAAAAACCGGCTGGCTGTATTTAAAGAACTTAACATGATGACAAACACAGTAGATGCAAGTTGTTGTTATTAAGCCAAGCATAGAAATAATCAATGCAAGGGGAAAGATTTTGGAGCCACTGGATATCTTAAGACAGAAAATGTGACTATGTATCTTGGGAGTAGTCCAGGAAAGTCTTCAAGGTCAAAAACCTTAGAAATCTCTTACACCTCTAGAAACCAAGATATCTCAGACGTGGAGTCAAATGCTTAAATAGGACAGCAATCAACTACTCAGTGAGAATTAAGGGACCCTGACTATTTGAATTACCTGGGAAGTGGTAAAGGCAAACCAATGGCCATGTCCTATTCCCAACTAGTCAGGATTTCTAGGAGTAAGTCCCCAGTCTGAATACAGCTTTAAGTGAGTCTGTGAGCAGCCAGAGTCAAGAGCTACTGCAATTCTAAACCCACCGGCACTAGACAGATGAACAGGAGTATCATTTACTATTATTTGCTGTTGACTGTTGGAAAGAGTCTGGAATCACATGTGGAATTTCTCAAATGTGAAAATCTTGGCAAGTATTTACAGTGTTTGAAAAACATGAAGGGGGATTGTAAAGAAAACATAGATACTGGCCTTTTTTAAAAAACGGTACTGGGGATTGAACCCAGGGCTTCACCACTGAGCTACATCCCGGTTCTTTTAATTTTTTTTCATTTTGAAGCAAGGTCTCCTAAGTCACTAAATTGCTCTGGCTGGCCTCAAATTCAAAAACTTGTCTCAGGCTCCTAAATGCCAGCATTATAGGGTGAGCTGCCACACCCTGTTTAAACATTAAGTAATTTATCCAAAATTACACAGAAAATTTAAGAATCAGGGTTTAAATCCAGCCCTTTTAAATTAATATTACTTATATATGAGACAGTGAACACTTCAGAATTGCTCCAGGTGTGGTGGCTCACGCCTGTAATTCCAGCACTTTCAAGACATTTTTTTCCCTTTTTAATGTGAAATTGAAAGTTTCTTGATATGAATAGCAAAATATCATTCAAATGCTAGAACTGTTACTCATTTGAAATGTAGATTTTTATTTACTAGTACATATTTGTAGTACATAATTATTACAGTTAGCGTGGGGAGTTGAATTATGTACATACTATATCTTTTTTTTTTTTTTTTTTTTTTTGTCTTTTTCGTTTTTATCGGTACCAGGGATTGAACTCACGACTGCCTGCTTGTAAGGCAGGCGCTTATGCTGCTGAGCTAAATCCCTAGCCCCTACATACTATATCTTAATTCTCCTCTCTCCCATCTTTCTTCTCCCTCTGTGCTTCCAACCATTGGCCCGTTTTCCATTTGCAGAAGCTCTATTTTCATACCTTTCCCCCTCCCTCTATCTCTTTTCCCCTATCACTTTGAACCGTATCTCCCTGTTTCTTTATCTACTGTTTTGCTTTTTACGTATGTTTTGAATTTTTCAAACAAGATACTGACTTAAAAGAAGGATTAGAGATAGCCGGGTGTGGTGCGGCTCACGCCTGTAATCCCAGCACTCAGGAGGCTGAGATGGGAGGATAGCCTGGGCTACAAAGTGAGCTCAAGACCAGCCTGAACTGTATGTCTCAAAAAAAAAAAAAAAAAAAAAAAAAAAGGACAGAGATACAGCTTTGTCAGTGATTTTGGTTTTAATCTTTAGTACCACAAAATCAAAACAATAGGCTGGGCGTGGAGGTGCACGGTCTACAAGCCAAAACTTCTGGAGGCCTAGGCACACAGGCAGTTAGAGGACAGCCTAGCTGTAAGCTATAGTGAGTTCAAGGGCAGCCTGAACTAGTAAGTCACATCTTGTCTTTAAAAAAAAAAAGATAAAACCATAGGAAGGAATGCGTTGTGGGACAAAGGCGCCCTAAAAGCAGTTCGTCTAGCAGCCGACAAAACTCAGGGGCTAACCCGTGTAGAACGCTAACCATTCTCCCCGGGGAACAAAGTGAACGAACCGCGCATGCGCCTCCTACTGGCGCGCCGGGGAGGAGGGGGACTGGTTGCGGGCGGTGAATTACGACCTCTGTTGGCCACGCTCACGACTCCTGCCGTAAAGGCAGTGTTTGGCGCGTGCGCACTACTTTTACCTCGCGGATTCTCGACGCGACATCTGCTGTGGAGGTCTTTCCTGTGCTGTCGGGCCGTCGCCATGGTGAAGCTGAGCAAAGAGGCTAAGCAGAGGCTGCAGCAGCTCTTCAAGGGCGGCCAGTTTGCCATCCGCTGGGGTTTTATTCCTCTTGTGATCTACCTGGGTCAGTAGAAGAACCTCAGAAAAGCCTGGGGCAGGGGTTGTTGGAGACTCCGTCTTTGGCCTTCCGGGCGGAGAAGGAAACGGGACTCCGGTGGCGCGCGTCCTCTGAAGTTACCTGGTCAGCTGGGCTCGAGTTAACCTGAGTTCGAGGTTTCCTTTATTAGTTTGGGTGGTCTCTAGCTAGTCACGGAATCCCTTCCATTCTAATTTTACGTCTATAAAACTGAGGTGAGGCATACTTCTCAAGACTATTGTAAAGTTTAGATGTTCTTATGTTTGTGAAAGCGACGAACTAGGCGGATTTTTAGGGCGTTTCTCCTCACCTCTAGGTGGGCCTGAGTGGACAGTAAATCTAGTACCTCATGAATATGCCAATATCTTCAAGTATGATAATGACAGCATTTGGCTGCCTCTGCTTTTTCATTGTACAGTGAACGGTGTTGAGTTTTGTTACTGACCTCGATTTATAGGGGCAGAAACTGAGCCATAGAAAAGTTACACATTCCTTGTCTGAGATAGTCATATTGGGGGCTGTGTGGACTCAGACAGTGGGACCTCATTCTCTTAAGCATTTGCTTTAGAGCCCAAGCATATATTTTCACCCAGTGCTGAATTGGGACCTTATACTGTTTCTAATCCTAGGTAGTTTTTGTTTTGTTTGTTTTAACCTTACTGTCCTATTGAGGCAATATGGTGAAAGAGAAAGCTCCTAAATTTTTATTCCCAGCTTTTTGTCAGTTTTAGAAAATAGTTTGACATTTCTGAAAGTCACTCGCACAGTTTAAAATAGAATTCCAACAGGGTGCTGCTTTCCAATTTATTTTAGATGTTGTTTATTGTATAATATCAAGTATATTCACTCATAGTCTTGACAGAGCTTTTGATTAGGCTGGACATTCTCCAGGCAGCTGAGGTTCCTAGTTCCCTATGAGCTGGAAGCCAGCTGTCATCCCACTTGGGGGATACTTAAGTATGTGAGATTTAAAAATGACTTTTTCCTACTTCACACCACCAGCCCATCTGTCCACGCCTGACCCCCTGTTCTGGGGATTAAACCCAGTGCCTTTGCACTGAATTACATCCCCCTTTTGTCATTTTTTTTTTTTTTTTTTTTTTTTATTCTGAGGCAGGTTCATTGCTAAGTTGCCTAGGCTGAATTAGAACGTGTGAGTGCCAGCTTCAGGCTTCTAGAACGCTAGGTTAAGGTGTGTGTCACCACGTCCTACTAACCTTGAATGCAATTTTTAAAACATTGCTTCCACCAATATTTGTAACTTTGCAGGTATCAGGTTTTAGAGCAAATATACAACATCCTACTTGTGCAGTCTGTGTTGTTCCCTCTGTTCCTTGAGGGATTCTTTCTTTCCTCCCCTCAGCTTTTATTTAATGATGAAAGAACTATTTAGGTGATCAGATACTGGGAATAACTCACTTTTTAGCTGGGAAAGATGTTGATTCTCTTTTTTTTTGTGCACATTTTTTTTTCATATTGAAAACATAGAATCCTATTTTAATATACTCTTGATTTCTCTGCTTTATCTACTTTTCACTCTGCTTTTTGAGATTCCTTTTCTACCTTTAGAAAGCTGTAGTTGGTTGCTATAATCTGTTTACCAATGACTTCAGTCTCTCTAGAGTTCATTTTTCTTTTTATTCAATAATTCAGTCATGGTGATTTTCACCCTGGTGTCCAACTCAGGTTATTTGAGGTTCATAATAAGGCTGTCTTTCTAATACTTCTTTTTTTTTTTTTTCTTTTTGCACCAGGAATCAAACTGAGGACTTTGCATTTGCCCAGCAGGCGTTTGTGCTGCTGAACTATATTCCCAGCCCTCTACTACTTACTCTTTATTATTAATTTTTTTTTATTTTTTTTGGTGCTGGGGATTGAATTCAGGGCCTTGTGTGTGCTAGGCAAGCACTGAGCTACATTCCTATCCTTATACTGTATATAAAATTTAATATTATGTTGAAGCAAGTTTCCAAGTTATTTCTTTACTTCCTTCCACTTCAGCTCTCATTAAAACCTACAACTGTGGGTTAATTTCTTGTGTAATTTTGGTTCAAACATACATTTCTGAGCCTCATGGACTGTAGTGCTATACGATATGACAGAAAGTGGCATAATAATAAAAAATCTGGACTTTTACCAGCAAAAAGGTTTGAGCTGTCATTTGGAAGACAGCTCTCCATGGTCTCTTAGTTTTCTGTAACTCTTGTGAACAGAGGCCATAATAACCCTTAATTCTTGTAACACCTTGAAAATCATGTAGTAAATTCCTGACTTAGGAACATTTGAGTTGACAATTTTCAAAGATATGAACAGACCTCTCATATTGATCCTTTTGCCTCAGCCTCCAGAGTGCTGGGATTTACAGGCAGGTGCCATCACACCTGGCTGGCCACAGTTCTTTTTTTTTTTTTTTTTTTTGGTACCAGGTATTAAACTCGTGCTTGCCACACAGGTGCTTATGCCACTGAGCTAAATCCAGGGCTGGCCACAGTTCTTGACATTCTACTTTAAATCAGTTATTTAAACAAAGTAGTAAATATGTCATCAAACAAGGGTATATGTATATTTTATTTTTTTGGTATTGGGAATTTAACTCAGGACCTTGCTCTTGAATATTTTAAATGTTAAAAGGTTTAATTAATCATACGTGTAATAATTGGTTTATTAGGTTGTTGAGTAGGTGAATTTTTAAATCATCTCTTCTATCACTAGTTTTTGCTTTATAAAATGAGAGTTTCATAGGTGATAAGATGTCCTCAATTTTTTTTCTAAAGAAAAGTCCAGTTTATAAAAAAACTTTATATTCTTCATAGTCTTTTTTTTTTTGTTTTGTTTTGTTTTTTGAGACAGGGTCATGTTATGAGGCCAGGCTGGCCTTGAACTCACTATGTAGTGCATGCTGGCTCGAATTTATAGTAATCGTCCTGCCTCAGCCTCCTGAATGCTAGGATTATAGGAGTGTGCCATCATGCCTGGCTGTGTGTGTTCTTCATAGTCTCATATGAGGCATAATTTGGAAGTTGTGATAACTTAATTCTAGATAATGACTGATAATGAAAAATAGAGCATGCCAAGAGCTACTGTGTTAATTGTGTATATAATAGGCATAAGCTAGCTTTCCCATTGTGCTAATTAGGCGTAGATATAATTTCATCCTTAGTAAAAATCAGAAACAGGCTGGAAATTTAGCTCAGCAGCGCAAGTGCCTGCCTGGTAAGTGCAAGTTTGTGAGTTTGATCCTTGGTACCAAGAAATAAAATAACATAAAAATCAGAAACTGTTCTCTCACTCAGGTAAATCTAGATAGGGTTGGTAGATCTGGATGTCATTCTAGTTGTCTTGAGTTAGATTTTAAAAAATCTGGATCATAGTTTTTTTTTTGTTTTGAGGATTTTAACTTGTTATTTTTTCTTCTGTTCCCTCAGGATTTAAAAGAGGTGCAGATCCTGGAATGCCTGAGCCGACGGTTTTGAGGTACTGTTATAAACATTTCAGGACTGAGCTCATGTATTAGTATTCACTCATTGGGAATCAAAAGAGTAATAGTGATAGATGTTGACATAGATCTTAATCTGTTAGTATAGTTCTTGGAAAACTATGGCAATTTATGAACTAGTCTGATTTTTTTACCAGATAGCTGCTTCTTCCATGTCATAATTGCAATGAGACATAATTTAAAAGGAAAAGAACCAGCTGGGGGTAGTGGCACATGCCTGTACCCCAGGTCTTGGGAGACTGAGGCAGGGGGATTGACATGAGTTTGAGGCCAGCCGGGGCTACATGAGTATGTTCAAGGCCAGCATGCACTGCACAACGTGACTTTGTCTCAAAAAAAAAAAAAAGAAAAAAAAAGGAAAAGAATGAATTTATCATCCTACAACATTAAAAGGTGAACTATGTTTAATTTTCTATATTCTCATCTTTATTTTTAGATGAAAACAACCTTTATATTATTCTGACAAAGGATACATGATTTTGTTTTTTTTAACCTAAATTTAGAGTTGATATACATTTCTTTGGGCGATAACTTATGTTCACTTAGATTCTTTTCAATTTTTCCTTTAATAATATAATTAACATTTCAATGCATATAACTTAACAGATTTTTATCTCATAATAAATTATGGAATTGGTCAAAGTATATGAACATTGAGGCTGTGAAAATGTACTGACATATTCCTTTCTCAAAAACAACCATGCTGATGTTGGATAAGCACTTTTAAATACTTCACATGCACATAGCACATGTATCAATATGTATGAGTAAATGCCTGTTAGCTTTACATTATTATAACAAAATACCTAAAATAATCAGTTTATAAGGAGGTAAGTTTTATGTCTCATGGTTTCAGTTCTTCATGGCAAGAATGCCTGGCAGAGAAGGCCTAACGGAAGCTTGGAAGTTGAGTGAGAAAGGGACTGGCATCTTATTACCCCTTAGAGGGCGTGGTCCCAGTGACCCAAATTGCTTCTACTGTACTCCATCTCTTAAAAGAGCTGCCACATTTCAAGAAATCTAAAGAGAAAAAACAAACAAACAAACAAAAAAAGAGCTGCCACCTGCCAATAGCTTCACAGGCTGATGGCTAAGCCTTTTAACACATGGTTCTTTGGATGATGTTCAGAACTTAAACTATGATAACTTGTGACAAATATGGATAGATACACATATATCTTGTCACAACTTGTGACAAATATGGATAGATGTATATATACGTACATATATGTATTTATGTATACATGCATACATAAGCAGGTAGGTATATATGGTTGTATACTTATATATAAACAGTCTGTGGAAAAAGGACTCCTGGCACTATGATGACCATGGCCACTGCACACTAGTGCTATGGGATTTCGGGTTTACCCTTATTTCACAAGTTTGTCTCATAGTTTGGCCTAACGGACTTCATTGGCTATTCTAGGTCTTCAGTTTCTTTAGAATCCTCTTTTAAGTCACTTTTTCCAGAATGAGCAGAGTATAATAATACAAATTGGGTATTCCTTAATAAAAATGCTTGGGCTCAGATTTCAGATTAGCAATGCTGAATGTATATTGACATTAAGAACCACCTATAACATGATTATGAAGTTATTGTTTATGTGCTGTACTGTAGCTGTTTCTTCAGTCCTTTAGAAAAAGTTAAACATTTGGTAAGTAGTAAAGTACATTTACCTCCAGATCCCACATTTTTTCCACTGGGTCACATAGCCCCCTCTTACTACAGTGTCATTTGATATGCACATTCTCTCTGCTCTGCCTTACTGGCCTCTCCTTTCTCAAAAAGTACCACCATATGTTTCCTCAACCATATGTTGTCTATTTTTGCACTGAATTGGTTTCCATGATAAAGTCCTTCAACAAATGGCCTTCACTCACCATTTGCTTTCTTAGCCTCCTTTTTTCCTTTTAACCTTTTATGATACGACTTCTGAAAACTGCTTTCAGAGCTTCCTTCTAAATTCTTTTTTTCTTAGCTTTTGGTCTTGACTTAATTTTTTTTTCCTTTAAGTGGGGATTGAGGTAATGTATGTGCTCTTGACTAATTGAATGACTAGACCACAACTATTTCCTTTTTTTTTTTTTTTTGTCTTTTTCCTTTTTATCGGTACCGGGGATCGAACTCACGACTGCCTGCTTCCAAGTTAGGCGCTTATGCCGCTGAGCTAAACCTCCAGCCCCACAACTATTTCCTTAAGGAAACATTACCTTAAGTTGTAGTATCATAGATTTCTAGTGGGTTGAACTGTGTGAAAATTTTCCAAGTAGTGAAGTTTATCAAATACTTTTCCCCAAGAAGCCATTAATCTTCCTAAACTGTAGTCTCTTCATTTATTAGTTGGATATCATAGTACTTTATAAGGTTGCCATGAGGATGAGAATAAGGTATGTAAAATATTAGCAGTACTTGTCAAGTGATATGATCGATAAGCTATTTATGGTAATTTTTCATCTTTTCTGTATCATCTGTTTTATTCCCACCTCTATGAGAACAGGGCTTTGGCTACATGATACCTCATGCTAATCGCAGAATAGACTATATTTTTGTGTTTTTGCCCCATGTACTTGTGTTCCCTTACTGTGGAGTGCTCTTTCCCATTGTTTTCTACTTGATAAAACCCTGCTTCTAGAAAAGCATGTCTCCAGTGTTGCCTTGTCACCAGATCTTTTCCTACTATCTTCCTGGATGAAACTGACTCCATCTCGGTGTTCCCACAACTGACATTTTTTTTTCATTGTTTATCATGCTTTGTTTTGTATTATGCTTGTTGCTTATTTATAGATCATCCTGTAAGCACCTAAAATACTTGCTTAACAAGTGTTGCCTTAATTAAGGTCCTCACTCTTGACCCTTGTGCCTTCGGTAATCTAGTATCAGAGGCAGGGATCAAATGTGTCTCTTTGTGCTCCCTTTTTTAGCTTCAGTATCCCAGCAAGTTTTGATCCTTCAAATTTGTGGAACTGGAAGCACCTATGTCAACCAACAACTTTTTTGTTTCTTCACCTTTTTTTTAGTTTTTCAGTGTTTATTTCCTTTCCTTTCCTTGTGCTTGCCGAGTCATTTTTGTTGTTAGAAGTATCTCCCAATTTTCTCCCCACATATACTTCTGTTTAGGAAATAATTGCTTGCAAGAGTTGTCCAGTTACAGAATGTCACAAACTGTTCTGGTTGCACTAGAGAGGCCGACTAGGGAGATCATTTTTGTTACCTATTTTATACCCTGAAAGGAAAAGAATTGTTAATGTTATGGTTTTCATTAAGGTAAAATGCATTTTTATTAATGTAAAATCTATTACCTGTACATAGATTTATTATTTATATGATACTTATATAAATTACTGATTTGTTTCCTTTGCTAACGTGTTGGGTCTCTTTGGGATTAGAACCACATTCATCATAGTAGTACCTAGAGCCTTACACATGTGATATGCCATGTCATTGAGCTATGTTCACAATCCTTAGTATCTTCCATTTTCATTGGGGATGGCACATTACATGTGGCCAGCAATTGTTGGTTGATAAAAAAGCCTTATTCAAAATGCAGTATTATACTGAATAAGGGATCATAGATTAATAAAACGTTATTAAGGCAAATAAGTAAGTAAAAGAATCACTATTTCTGTTATCTTTCTAAGACCAAGGAAGATTTTCTTTTCCCTTTATTTTGGACCTTCATTATTTTTGAGGAAGAAATCCTAACAGAAGAATTTATTTTCATATCATAACTGTGAACAAGATATGAAAACACCTTCATTGCCATCTTGTAATACAATTTTATTCAGTTGGGATAGAAATTTTTTTTTTTCTTTTTTGTTTTTTGAGATTGCTATATAGTTCAGGTTGGCCTTCAACTCTATGTAGTCTGGCTATTTGTCATTACTGGGACAAAATACCTGACACACATTAAAGGAAGAGGTATTTATTTTGGCTCTAAGGCAGGATGGCATAGGAGAAAGAGCTCATGGCATGGTGGTAGGCAGGAAGCAACCCTCCTCCTTCCCTTTTTATTCCATCTAGGTTACAAGCCTATTGGTTGGTGCCACTCACACCCAGGGTGGGTCTTTCCTCTCAGTGAGTCCAATGTTTACACCTAGAACTGTGCTAAACCAATCAGTGGACTGATCCAGGATTGCAAACACATGATCCAGTCGCTTCCCCAATACCCACCCATGAGTGCATGAGTCTTTGGTTGTGGGGTAGAGCCATAACACCTGAGCTGGCCTCAGACTCATGGCATTCCTCCTGCCTCACCCTCCTGAGTGCTGGGATTACAGACTATGGGCTACTGTACCTGGCTAGAAAATATGATTTTTACCCAGCAGGACTTAGACATAAAACATCTTATGTCCTTTTTGGATTCTGTTGCTTGAGGAGTTTGGATTCCTTAGTGGCTATAATTAACTCTTAAGAATTAGTCGAAGAGGGGCTAGGGATTTAGCTCAGCGGCATAAGCACCTGCCTTGCAAGCAGGCGGTCGTGAGTTCAATCCCTGGTACTGATAATATAAAAAAAAAAAAAAAAAAAAGAAAGAAAAAAAAAGAAAGAATTAGTCGAAGTAGAAATGATGCTAATTGCTTTTATGGATGTGGGTAGACTAAGGTTAAAAGCACATGGGTCAGTCCTGCTTTTCTACTTACAACCTGGGACCATCTGAGAGCCTGTTTTCTTAGCTTTAAATGAGGATTACTATCACAGAAGTTATGGTGGACTTTATATGTAGAATATGGCTCACAGATGGCATGCTGTTTTAGTGTTATTGATCTGGGTTCATCAATCCTTCCAGTTTGTGAAAGCCGTTAATCATTTGTTAATCATTTGAGCAAATAGATTCATGTTAGTTAGCAACTTACAGTTTCCTTTTTTTAAATAGGTAGCTGTACTGAAAACTATTTAAATATAGTTTTTTTTTTTGGCTTGGTAATATTGATGTTTCTAGTAATTCAGTTTTTAGATGAGCAAACATGTAAATGTATAAAATCTTCTTGTTCTTAAACTGTTTAGAAAGTTTTTGTTTTGGGGTTTAATTAATTTCTCCTCTTCACAAACATTTTAGCCTACTTTGGGGATAAAGGACTGTTTTCTCACCTGGATTTGGAAGCATTCATCGATCATAGACAACATGCAAGGTGTGTGCTCTGGCTGTTATAAGAAATGAGACTTCATTCAGATGTTCACCAGTTGGATGGCACAGGGCTTTTACTTCTCAGATGTATCTGTGACAGAGTGGAACCTCTACTGACTTATTTATGATAGACTGTCAAAATAAATATTTTTAACTGTGTTGTCTTGAGTCTTTTTTAAATTGAGTATTTTCTGAATTGAGGGACTATAAGGTGAAAATTAAGCCTTGTATTACTTTTTCAAAACAGGAAAGCTGTGTATGTGCTGTCTAGCTGCTGCCTTAAAAAAAGAATAACACTTTCAAGCTAATTCCTCACCATTCACTAAACATATATTCTAGTTTCCTTTAGCAGTGAATTAATAACTCCCCAAGGGATGCTCTAGGTAGTAATTAGAGACAGTTTGCAATTTGTGGGCTGTTTCACAGCATTGAAATAAAGTTCTTAAAAAGAAATGGGTTTGGTGTCTTTGTTGCTAGGAAATGGGAGTGTCATTGGAAAGTTGTAGGTCTGATTAATGTACAAGTAGGTGACATGTGTCTTAAGATTTTCCTCAGTGATGTTAGCAAACTAGAGCTAGCCAAACAAGAGCCTATGGAGAGTACACAACATGTTGGCACTTTTTATCTTAGAAGAAAAAAGGCAATTAATTAATTAATGGGGACTGCTTTTCAGCTCTGAGTACTGATTTCCTGGGTCCTGAACCCTGTATCTGAAGCTTGCTTTATTACTAGTTTTTTCCATTCTCCTAACAAAAAAGTTTTATTAGTTTGGAAGATGTAATCAGTGAAGGAAAGAACCTGAAATATGACACAGTTTGAGAGAAGTCCATTGGTTGAAGGTTTTAATGCTACTGTTAGAGAATTCCGTGGTGAATGTAATCTCTCTCAGGAGTCTGGAGCTAATACAATTGCTTCAGCATCTTTGAATCTAGATATGTATGATTATGCTTTAAATGAGATAGTTTTTAGATTCCATAGAATTACTTAAGTTGGTGATCACTCTTTTTTCTGCAGAGCATTCCTCTCTGCAAAGTGGAGTCTTATCAGTGGATTTTTACTAATATTTTGGTGTATACTTTCTGCTCACTGTTGCTTAGGGTTCCTAGAAATTGAGAATGTAAAGATGTGGATGTCTATTTGATAAAATGGTTACGTGGATAATAAAGATAACTGGTTTTCTGCTCCTTTAGGAGTTACTGTGTAGCTGTCTACAGTAGACTAAAGTGAGGAATGAGGAATTAAACTTACATGTGAGAAAGCTAAGGAACAAAGTTTAAGCACCTGTTGAAAAGGAGCTGTGATAGTAGACACTTTAATGTGTCAGTGTAACTTAAGGTTTTTGAAATGTTTGAAACTAAACTTCTACATTTTGTTGAGTTTTAGGTTTTAGGTCAGTACAATCTAATTTGACAAACATAAGTGTTTTACACTAGGTGATGGAGAGTCCTTGGGATTAAAATGCTGGGCAACTGGGAATGCAGTTCAGTTGTACAGCACTTGCCTAGCATATTTGAGGCCCTAGGTTCAATCCCTAATGCCACACACACTTAATTCCTGACCTTGGTTTGCGTAGGGAACATTACCCACAGCTCTATCATTTAATTCTTAGAACCTTAGTGAAGTCAGTCTTTCAGTGTCTTCCACAAGAAAAGGAATAATATTTCTTTCAAGGTGTTAACTTGCTAATTCAGGTATTTTTTTTTTAAGGAGAAAAAGAAAAGTATAAGTAATACAAAATTTAAAAAATAAACAGTAGGAAATCACTAGTTAATAGATTACATATTCTCAGAAATAGTTGTTCAAGTTACAAAATTGAAGCATATAAAGTGGACTTTCAAACAGTAAGAGTGCAAACAGTTTTGTTCAATGTTCCAAAAAAACTCAGTAATATGGCTATTTTATACACTTAAACATATATGCAGTTATAACCTTTAGAGCACTTTCTTTTCTTTTGTACAATGACAGCACATTTTGGGTTTTATTACTCCCACAGTTTTTATTACTTTTTTTGAAGAGAGTAAAACCAAATGCGACATATCAGAACAGAATCAGTCAAATCAAAAGGATAGACATAATAATGTAAAAACAAAATACAAGGTGATCAACAATGCTCAAAATAGCAAGAGGCAGTATGTCTTTAATCTTGCTATTTTAAGAAGAATTGCCAGTTATAATAAAATTGAACAAAACAGTAAAGAATAAAACCAAAGCATTGGAGACGTTACAGGACTTTAAAAGAAGATAATAGTCAACTGGAATGGGTGTCATAATGAATCTTAACTGTCTTCACAGTTTTGCCTATACTTTCGAACTTGGTACTATCAAGCAAAGCAGAATAGGGGAAAATCAGTCAAAACAAGATGGTGAGGGCAATACAGGATTTCAAATCAAGTTAATAGGAAATCAAAGTAGGTTACTATAATGTATCCTTTATTAAATTTTTCCCTTAATTAAAAAGATAGGGGGCTGGGGATTTAGCTCAGCGGCATAAGCACCTGCCTTGCAAGCAGGCAGTCATGAGTTCGATCCCTGGTACTGATAAAAATGAAAAAGACAAAAAAAAAAAAAAATTAAAAAGAAAAAAGTAAATAAAAAAAAGGGGGGGGGGATTGAGATAAAAGAGGGCATAACAACAGAACAGGATAAGTCAAAACATAACCGTTTAAGCAAAATAGTGTTTCACCACAAGATATGCTGACATAAAAATAGTTACCATATGTCTCTTTCCTTGAAATCTTTGAGTATAACTTCGTATACTGTAGCACCAAACATATCAAGACACTATAAAACCATTCAAGAGAATAATATTACAGGGTATTTAGAACCAATTAACAGAAAATGAACAATGGTTTCTGTATAATCTCCTTGTCTATAAAAGTTTTTACTTAAATTATCATATATAATAAAATCCAATAAGATACAACCTTTTAAGACCAATGGAGGCAGAAGAATACAAGTTTTTTTTTTTTTTTTTTCATGGAGAAATCTTGGTGTCAAAAGAATACAAGTTTGATGGGACTTCAAAACAAGATGATACTAAATCAGCACTAGCTATTATGATGTCTTGTTTTCTCCAAAATAGCTGTTCCTACCATCCAATCTTCTCTGCCTCATTTCTGTTGAGCTCTTTTTCTGTCATTTATTGTCAGTTTGTCTTCTTCATTTTGCTTTCTCCTCCATTCATTGTGGCCTCTCTGCCACTATTTCTGGAATCTTGGTATTTTCCATTTTTAGAATATCCTGGAGTATTCTCTGTAGAGTTGAATTGGTGGTTGCAAATTCCACTAGTTCCTTTGTATCCTGGAAGCACCTTGTTTTTCCATCAATTTCTAGGGACAGTTGTGCAGGATATATCAATCTTGGCTGGAGGTTATTATCTTTCAAAGCTTGAATTATTTCCCCCCACGTTCTTTGTGATTTAATGGTTTGTGCCGAGACGTCTGCTGTAATTCTGATGGGTGTTCCCTTGTAAGCGATTGGTTTCTTGTCTCTGACGGCTTTTAATATTCTGTTCTTATATTGGATTTCTGGAATTTTGATTATTATATGCCTGGGTATAGCTCTGTTTGGGTTGTAGGTGACTGGGGTCCTATATGCCTCATACATCTGAGTATCTTTACCTTTTGCTAAATTAGGGAAATTCTCCTGGATTATTTCTGTGAATAGGTTTTGTAGTTCATTTGTTTGTGTCCCTACTTCTTCTTTTATGTTCTTAATTCTTAAGTTATAGATACTCTTATCATCTTCTAGCCTTTATATTGTTGCTGGTTTTTTTTTTTTTTGTTATTTTTAAGAAGTTTTTCATTTCATGCTCCCATATTACAAATCTGCCTTCCAGTTCAGATAATCTATCCTTAGTTTCTTTCAAGCTGTTATGCCAGTTTTCAATAGAGTTTTTAGTTTCCTGGTGATCTCTTTGAACCTGCTTCACATATTCTATGTTTTCTCTATTTTCTCCATCAAACAATTCTCCCCTTTTTATCTGTTCTTCCATTCCACCATCTGTTTTTTCTTGGGCTGTGTTTAACATTTCTCTTAACTATTCTACTTATATCTTGCTTAAGGTCGTTAATAACTTCATTTCTGAACTCGTCTATGAGGCTCTGGAGATATTGCTTTATGTCTATTGGTGCCGTGTCTGATATTGCATGTTTCTCAGGATTGGGGGCTGAGGACCCTTTCTTGTTACTCACTCTTCCCATATTTTTTGTTCCTTTTATACAACTCCACCGCAATGTACTAGGGAGACGGAGACCTGGGCAGCCTATGCTTGGCCCGCCCCTCCAGGTCAACCTACTGAAGGCTTCACTGTTAGGGTGCACCTCCAGGCGCTGGGACCTGGTTTGGGCTAGCCTACCGGGTCGTAGTCACTCCCCACCAATCTCGCTTGAGAAGGGAATATGTGACTGAAGTCACTGCAACAACCTGTTTGGCTAGTCTGCCCGGTCCTAGTATGTCCTTTGCTGAAGCCTCCTTCTCTATGGAAGGGTCCCCGATCCGCTCACTCACCGCAGGTCAATGTAGGGCTCCTGGCCAGTCCCACTCTCAACTCCATTCACCACTTGCCACTCTCAGAGCTTTCGCGCCTCTCTCTTTGCTGTGCCAATTGGGACGCAGCAGCAGCAGCTGCAGGAAATTCAAATCGTGGCTTCCAGTGGTGTGGGCCCCAGCTTCCGCGCTGAGACCTTATCTGTTCCTGTTATATCACCGGGATTGTGTTTCCAGTTGGTTTCTCTTAGTTTAGTTCGTTCCTATATATCTCCCCTTGCTTAGGATTTCTCGCCCGGCACCATTCCTGGATTTTAAGTGCGGTTTCTCAGCCTCTGTAGCTGCTGCTATCTATCTGCCATGTTCTCCTGGAAGCCCCTAATTCAGGAATTCTTATCACTGATCCTAGGCTAGTATCACAAGAAAACTTGTTAGAAGTGCATAGGTTCTTTGAAGAAATGTTTGGGGATTTAAAAAAAAAAAAAAGAAGAAGTGCATAGGTTCAGTTCTCGTCCTAGACCTTCGGAGTCACAGTGAGTGGTAAGGCTGCAAAGATATATATGTCTTACTGATAAAAGAATCAAATTAGAGGGTTAATACCAAAGGACCTTCGGGTTATGGTCTGTCTTACCTCACCTGAGTGAACACCCATTGCCTTTTTGTCTTAATTT